GTGCTAATTTAAAAATCAAATCGACGCGTGTAGATTAACAAAGATTTTATACAATTAGAAAGACTGGTAATTTTAAATTTTAACAAGCAGTGTAACAGCTACGTGAGTGATACACACCTGATGATGGCCATTTAGGGCCGAAACGTGTAGTGTGGAGGAGGAAAAGAAGTAAAAAACTACAATAAAATTTGTTGCACTTAAGACGGTATTTATCCATATATATTGTGTGAGTGTAACAGGATGCTGAAATATAATATTGTTTTAGTGTACGTTTGTGCATTTTTGTTGGGGAGGGGCTTTTTCACCTATAGCAACTACTGCAGAATTGCAGGTGTGTAACGATCATTTATATTTAAAATTACGAATTTTATTTTCTTGTTTACATTATTTTGTATTTATGACGTATTTAAAGGCTTCACTTGAACCATTAACTGATTATCTGAAAAGTGTCTTATAGGAAGTTACGTCTATTGCAGATAATCATTGTAAAATTTAAACCAATTTTTTTTCCTTGGCACTACAGCCCCAGTGGGCCTAGGCCTACCTCCATGAACTTCTCCGTTCACTTCGGTTTTTCTAGATCTTACACATTCGGTAGGACTCCTTGGGCGGGTGATCAGCTCGTCGCAAGGCCTCTACCTGTACACAAACACAGAAAAACACATATACACAAACTAAATATCCATGCCCTGAGTGGGATTCGAACCCACGATCCCGGTTTCCAAGCGAACGAAGACAGTACATGCCTTAGACCGCTCGGCTACCGTGACCGGCATTTAAACCAATTACAGAACACATATTTAGATAAAACACTTTAATTGACATTTAAATACAATTTTCTTGCTAAGGAATAAAGAAAGCTCTGGCAGAAAACTCCGTGCAACTGGAAGATATACCAAGGGAATTGGGAATTGAAATGGATGGGACAAAAACTACTGAAGTAGCTGCAGAGATTCGAAGGCTTTACTTCGGGGACAAACCCGCCTCAGAATCAAGTGTGGCTCAGCACATTGAAGTGAGTATGAATTGGGCTGCAAAGCAGCGTCAAGTGTAAGACAGAAATGTTTAGTATAAAGTGTGTTCGTATGATTATGCCGTATTTCTGTATCACATATCGCATGAACCGTTTCAGTGTTCTGCCAAACAGAAAATTACACTTCAAATTCACACTCGCGTGACGCCCACTTAATTTTCTATTCCGCAAAAATTTGTTACCTCAAATTATAATATGTCATTTAGAGAACAACAGCCTCACAAAATCCCAAGATCATACATCAGTGGTTCCCAAACTAGGTGGTGCGCGTAAAAATATGAGAACGTTCCAAATCTGAACTCCCTACTGTTGAAATTCTCTATTAAAAGCACTCCAGGTAAAGCAGTCCGAATATATTTAGACTAGGCAGTATCAGAATGCTACGTTTAACAAATCTGACAGCGACTGTTACAAAGTGCTGTGGTCCCAGTGAAATGTAGCCCAGTAGGACGCGCACTATGCAAGTGATTTGTTGCATGTGAAACAACCTCAATCCTCCTGAAACCCACTTCTCAAGATGAAGTCTGCAGCTTTGTCTCTTCATGAATTCTGGATTTATATAACATAACACGTGGGACTCTCACAACTAGCGACATAACTGCGTGACACAAACATTTTCAGCAACTGCAGCAATGAAATCGGGATACCGTAACCGCCTTCAGCATGCAGCCCCACCCTCGCCACTGCATCAGTTTCTGCGGTTAGGACAGGCGAAGGTTTCATTTCCTTCGGAGGACATGGAGCAAATCGAGAATAAAATTCAATGGGAAACCACGGTGTATGTATATACGTGTGTGTGTGTATTCAAATTAACTTTCAACATAGTCTCAGAAAATCGTGTTGTATTGTTAACATCAGTCACTATTTATTCTGCTTTTTAACGCGTACGGAGTGTCGCAACAGAAGGGTCAATCTTCTGGGCGGTCATAGTATCAGTCGTTCTAAGCTAAAAGTGTATGTGTACATGTGTCCTATTCCGAAAGGTTTCCCAGATAGAGCTAGTACACTGTACACTGTACACTGCACAGACGAGCAATACGCCATGTCCTCACACGAGTTGCAAAGTGCATTTATTTGAAGGTGGAATTTTATAAAATGTATTACAGTATGTAAACTGTACCAACTTTGCCACTTGAACCGGAATTAGAACAGGACAGGACACATGTACGAGTACATACACACTTTTGCTTAGAATGACCGATACTATGACCTCCCAGAGTATTGACCCCTCCTCATGGGACTTCCTGTATATCATGCTGTTGCCATGACTTTCCTTCTTAATTAGATATATAGCATTTTTCGCAACAGAAGGAAAAAGAAATGAAGGGCAACAGGCGTTTAAGTTTGTCGGCAGACAAATATCCATTCATCCTGAGAGGAATTAGGCATGATCTTTCCTTGTTTCGTTATGTATTGTGAGCCGGAATAGCGCAGTCGGTTTAGCGACTAGCTACTGGCTGGACGCCCAGGGGGTCGAAGTTCAAGTCCTGGTGGATTCAAGAATTTTCACTCCTCAATGTCGTCCAGACCGGCTCTGGGGTTTACCCAGCCTCCTATCCAATGGGTACCGGGTTTTTTCTCTGGGCCGTGAAGCTGACCACTCAACTCCAGTTAGTAAAGAGGTCAAGAAGACGTGGGTGTATACACCCGTTCATGGCGTAGTGCTTACGTAGTTAGTACACGAACAACTTCACTTTTTAGCCATTTTTAAAAAAGGTGCCACATAACGCTCCCATAATAATGAGCCCCATAGGATCTGTTTATGCGTTCGGTATAATTACAAATATTTCTGACACAAAATACAAGTTAGACATTAACTTCACCTCAAACCGTAGTTACATGAGCCTACAGAAATCGAAGTTACGTACTTCAGACCTCTCTCAGTTCAGACGCTTATAGGGAATGTCGTCGAACTGCACCGGAAGTTACACAGTAAACATGGGGACCGCCTGATAGTGTGTCCATTTTATGCACTTCGCGCAAATAACGCAAAAACTACATTATTGACGTCATGTCACTTCCAATTAAATCGCTTTTTACAAAACATGTAGGCGGCACTGACACAAGAGATGAATACAGCGTTCCAGTCGCAAAATCTGAAGAGAACAGGTCACTTTCAAGATGTCTGCGTACGTGGGACGAAAATGAAACGGCTGTAAGAGTACGGCGAAATTGATTGGATTTATTTGGTTCAGGATATGGACCAGCAGCATGGCCTCGTGAACATGTACCTTCGATTTCCATGAGGAAGGCAGGGAATTTCTTGAGATCCTGAAGAAATTCTCTGTTCCGTGGAGCTAGATAGTTGAGGCTACGCAAGAATGTAGAGGCAAATAACATTTTGAAGAAAGCAGACTTCTAGGATGTGGCACCGTGTAGAAGTCGTGTTAAAAGAAGTTTCGGAGGAACGTATCGCCTCCATTTTCAGGGTACAGGACAAGAAGAAATCCGCGAGACTGTTGCACCTGTTCAATTTAGTTCGCTCGCGGATTTATTCTTGTCTTCTACTCTGAAGCTGGAGGCGATACGTTCCTCCGAAACTTTTGTTAACACAACTTCTACACGGCGCCACATCACATAAGTCTGCTTTCTTCATGGTACACAGCCTTGAAAACTCCAAATCTTACAAATAAAATTTTGTTTCACAGTAGTTAGTTTAGTTTAGTTAGTTATTTAGAGAGGGTGGGTTTCCCCATGCACCGCGACCAGTTTGATCTATTGTGCTTCCCTCTATGATAGTCTACCAGTCTCTTTACCCTACCGATAAATGGTGCGTACCATCAGTCCCGCCGAGCAAGCGAGTTCGGCCACTTGCTTAGCGGTATCTATAATGCTTCCCCCATCTATCAGAGGCCTTAGAGACTAATGTTGGGCGGGAAACGTCCTGGGATTTGGCTCAGTGTTCCCCTTTGGGGATATGAGGTTCTTTTACGTGCCGTGAAGTTACGACACGGAACACAGCTTAAAGTCCCTCCCGGAGGACTTGTTCCCTGAATTTTTCCGCCCTTAAAAATTCGACGACCTCCGCCGGGTATTTGAACCCGAGTACCACGAGTCATGAGGTGGGAACGTTACCTCTAGACTACGGAGGCGCTTTGTTTCACAGTATATTCTCTTGTTTTAATCATTGCCAGTAAAGAGGGTTCCTTTCTGTGTACGTATGAAATCCTTCTTTAAACTAGAATTAAACGCTTTTTTGCAAATTAGACGATTTATTTTTTCTACAGCTTTCTGGTGACTTATTCATAGTAGCTGGAGTTTACATCGCTGCGCGAAAACTTTCGCTTTTATCTGCAACACCTGTTTACTTCTATGAATTTTCGTACAGCGGTGGAATGTCCATATTTAAGAGCCTTGTTGGAGGAGACGAAATTTCAGGTAAATTTTGGCATTTATAATCATTTAAGCATATAAATTAAAAGATATAATTTTATATTTTTTAATTCTGAATATGTATACAGGGTCCTGCCATCTGGATGACACAGCATATTTGTTCCGTTTCGCAAGACTTAATAGGACGTTCGGCCCAGAAACTTCGGAATGGAAGACATCACGAAGGATCGTGAGGTTATGGACCAATTTCGCCAAGACCGGGTACGACTAACATCCCTTTCACGAGGAGTTAAGAACTGAACGTAATTGTATTGTCCAGCTGGATAAAAATCAGAACTTTAACTACATGGACAAAGTTCTTCCTAAGAGACTTCAGTAGTCAAACTATTCATCATCTTTCTTGAAACCTGAAAGCATATTATATACAGCAGTGTTTCTCAACCGCCGGGCCGCGCCCCGGTACCGGCTCGTACACCGGACCCTCGTCTCTTAAAACAAGAATTTATCGGGCCGCGGTCCTACCAAGGTTGAGAACCACTGATATACAGTGCATCGCGTCACTCTCAGGTCACCGTGTCCCTCATCCAGGGCCAGATTAGTTAATGGAAATCTCCACGACCTGCTTCTCTCTGATTCATTTGAAACTATTCTTCCAAATACGCTTAGCTTTTCCAAACTGTCACAAAAATAAATGGTTACAACCTGAAATGCTGACTTGCATTCGGAGTCTTCTCCGTAAGAAGAATTTATTCCGTTGGAATATGAGGTCTATGTTCTATATCCTGCTCCCTCACTCACTCTAATTCCTGTCTTGTGTGCTGCTTAGCATAGGATGTAGGCGCAACACTGAGAATTGGCTGAAGGCCATCTGATTTATCGTACATCCTAGAAATTGCTCAAAACAATTTCAGCATCGTTTCTCTAGGTCTTCCAAATTTTCCTAAGGATTTATAGCTATGTCGTGCATGTGTTACAGACATTCATACTTCAAAAACAGTGTTCAATCTGTGTACGTTAATTTGCGTTACAGCTGCGGGAGTTCTCATATATAACTCCTATACAATAAAATAATTTTTTTAGGCTTCTTTACGTAGAATAAATTTCGTATTAGTACCTACTGCTACGAGATTATTGCAAAGTACTTCTGCAGCTCTGACGTGTCATTTCAGGTCTATGATAATGAATGAATGGTCACTGTCATATTGCAGGAACCCAACCCCAGAAGCGGACCCACTCCTGCAGAATGTCGTATGGCAGCCGGTCACTGGCTCCGACTTCTGCTACCTGAGCATCGGCACTGACCTGGCGCTACAACACAATTTCAACAAGGACCGCATGGACTTCTGGGAAGCCGTGCTCCAGTATAGCAGTAACGGCTCCTAAGTTTCACTTCGTCAATTTAGGCGATGGGTTCAAACGAGTCTGCAGATCCTGATTCCAACACACAGCCAGCCCACACTACTGCTTCATTAAGTTGTCGTTTTGAAGAACCTACCTCAGGCTGTCTCCGGCTTCACAACGGAGCGACCCTTCTTTCGATGCCTGGTCACGTCGTGTGGCAATTCTGGTGGATAACGTGACACTGGGGCAGGTTATTTCCAAGTACTTCGGTTTCCCCTGTCAATTCTCATTCCACCAACTGTTCCACATTCATTAATCATCCTATTATCGACTCCATGTAGTCCGGACACCGACAGCGCCGTTAAGTAACAAACTTTGGGAATTGTGCTGATATATTCACATGTAATTCTGAAATACAGCCTGTTACTATTTCGATTTTGATAGCCCCACAAATACAGTATCCGCCAAAAGATACAGTATTGAAATGAAAAGACGTCCTGTTGATGCCACTGTTTATTCATGTGAAGGCCCTTGCATGACAGAACCTTCTCAAACACTGAAGAAATGGCCCGATCAGCATGTCCCTGTAGCGTTCTTGGGTGACGGTAAGAGCACTGCCTTCCTCGTCCTCAATGAAACAGGGGCCTAATGTACCGTGTGCTCAGACGGCACACCATAGCGTCACACGTGTACTACAGGTATGTAGCGGTTTCCATGCACTTTTTGTCGTCTTACATATTACTGGCACATATTCTGGCAGTCTGCTTGTTTTCGGTCCGGTCCTGTTCAGCTGCAACTCCCTTCAGTTAGGGCAGCCGGGATAGCGCAGTCGGTATATCAACTCGGTAAGGGCCGGGTGGGCAAGGCATCGAAGTTCGGGTCCTGGTAAGTGCTCTAAACAATAATTCTGAGTGTACGTACCCAAAATAATGTGCCGTATAGACTCTCTGCAACGGCGCGGTAAACACGCCTCTACAGCAATAGAGTTACTGCTGCAAACGGTGTTGTGCAACTAGTTGCCAAGCAGCTGCAACAGTTGGAATACAACCATTGAAACATAGGCGTTTTCTATGCGGTCCGTGCCGAGGATTTATCTTAAAGACATTTGGGGCGACGCAGTGAGTTGTCAGTTAAAGGCAGCCTGTGAAGAGACGAGTAGGAGGCTAGCATGAAACGGCCGCCAGCCTGGGAGTTGTTAATTGTCAGAAAAAAGTCAAAATATCATGAACAGGCCATGAATATAAAAAGCCCTTGCTGTCAAAATTTGAAAAGCTACATACATATATAGTGTACATATACGTATAGACACACATACAGAGTTGTATTTTGTGTTCGAGCAGAAGGGCGTGATAAAATAATTAGTTAAGAGAGGACAATTCGAGTACAGACCCGGTGTTTGCACTGCAAAATGGAGTGCAAATTATATGTGCCTTCACTGAGAAGTAACGACCCACAGTGATACAATTGGCATCACTGTACATTCTATTTTTCCTCACTTCTTCCCCCCTCCTTTACTTTGTTGTCAGACACAACACATGTGATTACTACATGTTTCAACCATTGGTCCAAGTGTTGTACTTGGAAGTTTCACTGTATAGCTGTAAGGCAAGTTATAATACATTTCGAAAAAAGTAAATGTATCCCTGCAACAAGACGTGGAGGCCCATAGGGTTGTGAGATGTTGAGGTTCCCACATTTTATAGACAATCGGCTCATAGATGGCGGCAAGGTTGTCAGCCCTACGCGCCGGCCGCCCTTTACCCCCAAGAACATTCAAAGAATATTCCTGGTACTCATTTCTGTTAGAGGCTGAGTCCAACCCAGGGCCATAGTGCGGCTGAAAGAATTAGGTAAATTGAAAAAAATCCAACGACCTCACCGGGACTTGAACCCGCGACCTTCCGACTTGTAGCAACCAACTACGCTACCGAGTGCCCCCCACACTTCGAAAAGAAAACCAAAATGTATATACTTTTATTTTAAGTTAGAATTCGCAAATCAGCGTCAGCTCTTCCTAGCGATCTCTAAGAATGTCTCGTGGAATGTAACGGGATATAAACACATCGCAACGGCAGAAAATTATTGAAATAATTGTAAAAGTCGGAAGTACTGTGGAAGTGCTAAAACACAATCAAGCAAAAACAGCAAGGAAGAAGAAAATGTAGGGGAAAAATTCGTACATGTCAGATACGCAATTTCGAACAGTAATAAAAAAAAATTAGATTGTCAGAAAATCCTGGGTTTTCAAAGTAGAACATTATGCCTTTGAAATATGATGTTCTCACGGGGATGAGTGGTAAGACGGGGGTCTTATGGAATGTGGCGCCATGTAGTGTCGTAGATGGTTACCGACGTTTCGAGGGAACCGTTGTAACCATCTACATCGTTACATTGTAGAATACCGCATTCTTAATTAGAAATGTGAAAGTCGAAGTAAGAAATAGATGACTGAAATAAATTAACGAGGTACGAGTAGGAATGTCCACAGAATACAGAATATTAACATAGAGAATGTACCAAAACCTAATAAAGGCAATATTCGAACAGAAATTCAAATTCCCAAAACTTCTACCAACGCTAGGAACATAAAAGGTACTTAGTCGCAAAACAGAATCCCAGAAATAGCATCAAAGAAAGCAAAATACTTCTCTGGATTAAGGCGAAACCAATGGTAATTTTTCTGCAACAAAACAAGGTGTTACTGTTACTTATATATTAACTGACTTATATTTTTACATAAAATATGTTTTAATTACGTCATCATTTTAATATCATGGGACTGTTTTTGAAATATGCATCTGTTATCGACTTAAAATAATTTTTAAATGCAGGAATGCCGCCTCTCTATAATAAAAAATGGCATTATGATGTTCTTTAAATAGTGCCATTTTTAAAATATCCTGAAATATTATATTTTTGTCTTAGTTCTAATACCGGTTACGCAACAAAAGTGTGATGGTATTTAATTTTTTGTTTAATTTAGTGAAAATCAATAATTTCATCAATGATCTCCATGTACTGAAGACGGCTGTCTCCAATAATTCATAGCCGTTACGATTTGACATTAGATTATTGGGTTAAGATAAATTAAATTATCTCTTTACTCTTGGACTGTGATACTTAACCTAAACAGCCGAGCTCTAGATGCAGTGGTTTCCGTACTGCAGCTTGTCTGCTTCCATTTCGATTAATAACACGCCGAACTCCAGCACTACAAAGCGAGAACTCTGTGCTCAACACCAGCAAAAAGATATATTAGCAGTGAGAAGCTCTGACTGACACAGGACAGTAGTTTAGGTAAGTGATAATGTAGATTCCTCTACCACTGGGATACTCGCTTCAATAATTTGCGACAGAAAGTACAGGGCAGTCATTTTGAGGTCCAGATGACAATTTGTTGACATAAAAACAAATGTGAAAAAAAGTCTTCTCAGGTCATGCATATTTGTTATCATTCTACATATAACACAACTGCAGGAAACGGTTCCCTGGACACGCGTCCTGAAGGTACCACCGCCCTAGCCTAACATTTACACTTACTACCTACCGGAAGACTATAAAGAAGATGCCATAGGCCTAAATGTGATCTTGAAAGAAGCGCTAGTACTTTGTGTCGGAGTAATGAAATCGAAAACAAGAAGTCTTGTAGCTCCCTTACGATGTTGCTATTCGTTTCAGACAGAAAGTACCCAAGTCTATCGTAACGCAGAGATGAAGAAGACCCCAAAGAACTCTCAAAGCTGTTCTCTGGTGGCATAAATGCCATACTGAACTTCATAATATCTTCGGATTGGTTCATTAGTTCGAGGTTTCTACAGATCTGTTGATGAATACATTACATCTATTAAGTTACATTAGTCTACTAATGTTTTATGCCACAAACATCGTTCTGTAAACGACACGTTTTAATGTATGATAATTTCATTGGTTTCACATATTGCCTCACATACATGCAAGTAGAAGGGAAGAAGCGTGAAGGTGTAGACTGAACAGAGGCGGACTCTTGTGGATATGGTAACGAATCCTCTGGTTTTCCTAAAGTCGGGGGATCTTTTGGACTAGGTTAGCAATTATTAGCTTTTCAAGAAGTGCTCTGCTTCATGGAGTTGGTATCAGTTAAGACTGCCAATATGCGGACTCTTGTGAAGGTTTCATAAGAGTGAATGCCCTTAAAGGGCTCTTTCATGGAGTTGGTATCAGTTAAGTACGTAAAAACTGACAAGTCTCCTAATCGCCAAATAAACAGCGCCCATCATCACTTCGGTATCACGAGAAGACAGTTTGACCTTGACCCCTTCTAATCGTCTGACGTTAGAAGAAACGAGTTGTTGATAATAAAGACGGTATTGAGTTATAGGGCGATGTACAATAAAATGAGCAAATTGTTTTGCTAAATTACTAGTTCAGAAGTTGCGCTCCTTTCGGGCATATTTCAATTCATTGAGAGGGGCTCATTTTATCCGTAAGTCTAGAAATGCCATTGCCATGGAATGGATCAGCATACCAACATTCCATTTTGTGCCTTATTTTGATTCGCGCAGGACACGATTTTCTTTCTTTCGGTAAATTAATATACGAAATAAATACATCTGCAACATACATTCATAATTGTTTTAGGTGAAATGTCAGCAGCACTTCTACAAATGCATGAGCTTACATAATTCATGGGCGTTTCATTTATTAAAATATACTCCTTGTATTTACAAAAGTGCCTCATGCATTACATTCGCCATCTTACACTGTATTACAGATCTGTGACATTCGTGAATGTAGTGACACTCTTGAACTAGCAGAAACGCCTTGCATTTCACATCAGCAACTGAAATACAGAGGCAGACTGATAAATCGTTGTTGTGTGTATAAATGCATGCATACAAGTACACACAAACACACATAATACAAACTCCGTGGCATGTTGTCCGCAAGCGAACTATACCGACCGAGCGACCGCCGCTTGTCGGCGATGTGTCAACTTTAGCGGATAGAGGGTGTCACGTGGTCAGCGCAACGGATCCTCACGGCCATTAATTTCGGTTTTCTAGACCGGACACATACACACATACACACAGTCTATTATTATATTATACGAATTATATACATAGACTTACATATCAATTTCGCCACTGAGTTTATGTAATATTTGCAAACCATGCCAATTAAAGAAATTACATCGTTTCCTCTCTGTTTCAGTCTACAAGGACGGCCATGAAGTATGCTCGACTCATTTTTGTATTTCCGCTTTTCATTTTGGGGCCCCTTGCTTCTGAGTCTGATCCCATAGTCCACATTCACGAAGGCCCTATCAGGGGGACAACACTCACTTCGATCCGCAGCAACCGGCCCTTTTTCGCCTTCATGGGGATTCCTTACGCCAAACCTGCCGTAGGAGAACTTAGGTTCAAGGTACGAGAAATTGTTTTCTGCAGCACCTCAAAATATTCGTAAAGTTTTCGAGGTCTTAAGAGATAAATAAACGCAAACATACACCAAACAAACATGCCTTAAGTGGAATTCGAACCCGCCATCCCACCGTCCGAGAGAGCAAAGTCAGTTCAGGTCTTACACCGCGCGGCTACTGTGACCGATATTTAAACCTAGTGCAAAGGTTAATAATATGTGAAGTTTTACCTCCATTCCCCCATAAGCCTTCAGGGGCCGTAGTTTAATTAATCACAGGGAAAACTTTATAATCAAACACGATTTCTAAGTAATTAATTGCTGTTTATGGTTCTCCTCAGTCCCCTCAGCCGGCAGAGCCATGGAGCGGCTTACGGAACACTACAAAGGAGGGACCATCCTGCCCACAGAGGAATTTCCTTACCCACGCTTATTTCGGCGAAGAAGACTGTCTGTTCATTAACGTTTTCACGCCGAAGGTAATGACTCCTTAAACATGGCACAGCTCCATGATTCCGGCTCGTCTGTGAATACATCGAGAAGGGATCGTAAGGGTTCAGCATCAGTAGGAAAAAAGTCTGCCGTCTGTCCTTATTCGATTCAGTTCATACCCTCAACTGCGCCCTTTGAAGGATATTTTGCTATCATAACTTACGAAGTCCTTTCTTGAATCCCGCGTTCTGCATGTTCTGGCAAACCTCTTCCCTTGATCCAACTTCCTAAAATGCTAGACATGGAACTAAAGCACTAGATCTCAAAACCGTATAGGCCTGCTTTATCCAAGCTCGTACTGCAGATCTCTTCTAGAGATAAAGAGTTTAGTTATCGGAATAAGCTCCAAGCATACTTCGCCCGCTAAAGGGGCACAGAAACAGCTGTACACTGCATGGCTGTTTCTCGCAGTAACGTGCCACTAACTGAATATCAGTGCTTTCCGGTTCCTTTTACGGGCTGTGTTCCAGTGATGTGGACCGACTCTGTGGCCTACTGGTCAGAGTTCCTGGCTACAGATGCAGAGGCCCGGGTTCGATTCCCGGCGCTACCACATTTTTCTGAGAAGTAGTGGGTCTGGAACGGGGTCCACTCGGCCTCGTGAGGATAACTGAGGAGCTATTTCAAGGAAATAGCGGCTCCGGTCTAGAAAACCGAAATTAACGGCCGTGGGGATCCGTTGCGCTGACCACGCGACACCCTCTATCCGCTAAAGTTGGAACTAACTTCGCCGACAAGCGGCGGTCGCTCGGTCTGTATAGTTCGCTTGTGGACTAAAACCAAGGAGTTTGTTTGTTTGTACCAGTAATGNATATTTTTATTATTATTATTATTATTATTATTATTATTATTATTATTATTTTATTGGTCATTCTGGTGTTAAACGCATCAATAAATAAAGCAGTCAGAACACCTCATGCGGCATAGCGACGGGCTACGGACTGGACGGACGGGTTTCAATTCTTGGCAAAGGTAAATTTTTTGCCTTCTCCACATTGTTCAGTTCTGCTCCGGTGCCCACCGTCTCCTATCCAATGGGCACCGAGAGTAAAGCGGCAGTTGCGTAAAACTGACCAATCATCTCCATCTAGTACCGAGGTCAAGAAATGTGGAACTATACTTCCACTCCCCGATACGTCTTCATGGCGTGATAAGTACGGGGGAAATTTCACCTTTTTACATTTACTAAATTTAATTATTCAACGTGATGAAAACTTCTGTTATGGAATCTGCAAATATGCAAACAAGGAACACTTACTTGTGGGGAAGAAGAAATATTTTAATTACACAAAGACCTAACTTACAGTACAATCAAAACGTGCATAAAGATTTGTATGAACTAAATACTGCCATTTTGAAACTGAAACACATAATTTGCTTGTGCTTCAGTAAAGAGCATTCGAGATGATCAAGACCATTTTATAAACACTCCTGGGAAATCACGAGTTCTGTCAAACAGAGAAATGTAACTTACATGTCTTGTCGGCCGCGCCATAGCCCATAGCCATAGTCGCTGGCTTCCCACCGCGGCGGACCGGGTTCGATCCCGGGTCTGGTCAAGTGGGTTTTGTGGTGGACAAAGTTGCGCTGGGGCGGGTTTTCTCCGAGTACTTCATTCCACCAAATTCTCCATCATCATAATCACTCGGGGCAGGCTACAACCATGTTAGTAGCAATATGATTCAAATTATGACTACACGCCTGTAGATCTCGTTGGGAGCGGATGGAGCCCCAGCAGCTGTGATGGTCTGGATACATGGTGGAGATTATATATTGGGCTCAGGAGACAGGGCTGTGTATGGACCCGACTTTCTCGTAGATGAACATGTAGTTGTTGTTACCTTCAACTATCGGCTTGGAGTACTTGGTAAGTACTATTATTTGACTTCATTTCACAGTGTAGTCAAACCTGGATGTTACTGGACATTCGTCTTCTGTTATCATGTACTGCTAGATACTTTCTCCGGTCATTAGAACATTGTTTTATTATTGTGCGGCTCTGGTAAATTCATTTTATTCTGCTTCAGCGAAACTACTTTAGGTCCTGTGACGGCGTCCATCTTAAAATTAATCCTGAAGGAATGTGATAGGAAACTTTGAATAGGAGACTAAGTTATTACAAGGAAAAGGCTGTATTTCTTGTCACCTTACTATGTCAGAAATCTGAGCACAATCTGGTTTGATCGAATTATTACGATACGAAATAACAGCACAATATTTTTAATAAAATATTACTAGAAATGTAATTGTCACGTGGCTAAGCTAACGGATAGTCAGGATCGCAACGTATTCTGAAAACTACAATAACCACGAAGGAACTACGAAAAGCCTGAGAAATATTTCAAAAGCTTCCGCACTGCTACAAGAACATTTGTGACTGGTACGTCTCTGGTTTTCCTTTTAACACAACATGACATATGTTTGTCTCTCAGGTTTCCTGAGTCTGCAGAACAGGGAAGTTCCTGGCAACAACGGCATGAAAGATCAAGTCTTGGCTCTAAAATGGGTGAAACGGAATATAGATAAATTCGGAGGAGACCCTAGCAACATTATTATTTTTGGGGAGAGCGCGGGGGCAGCCAGCGTTCACTATCACTTATTGTCACCAATGTCACGTGGTAAGTACCTCATATTCTTCGAAATGGCACAACCAGCCCTGTTCGCACGACATGTGTACGAGACTGTACAGGAAGATCAGAAACGTAACTCTTTAATTGAGGAAGGAAGGCTGTATTTAGCCTTTCTTCTTTATGTTAAACTTATCCGAGTTGCATATCTGTTGTAACCGTGTGCATGCCGTCCCTTTCCTGTTATTGCATCCGTAAACTCTTCAATACGACAGTCAGCCACGCTACGAAAGATATGCAATTTGCAAGACAGAAAACTCTTGATGAATATGAATAAATACACCACTACGAGTAAAGAGCAATTTCAAGCCAATTTTATAAAAACTACTCAATGAGGAAATCCTGGAAGCTAAATAAACTATTCACTCCGTTTAAATCTATTTAACAGTATATTGCTTACAGAAGTATTTTACTTAAATATAAGCAAAGAAAGAAGAAATATACACAGAAGTGCTACTTATCCTGCACCACAGAAATGTATTCCTACTGCTAGGTTCCAAACGAAACGAAATAAAATCCGACAAGGAGTCCTGAAGCAACAAGCTGACAAGGCTTCTTCTTCTTCTTCTTCCTCTTCTTCTTCTTCTTCGAAAATTGGAAAAATCCTACACACTCTCAATAAGCAAACCAAAATTTTGAACTTCTAAAATTCTATACTATACTTGTTAAGCAATGAAGTGAAGAAAATAACCTTTCCTTGACGAAATTTATTCTAGTAACTAATTTAACTACGCCATGAAAGCCTATGGGGAGTGGATGTATAGATCTACATTTTCTTCACCTCGGCATTAGTTGGTGGCGAGTGGTCAGCTTCACTCCCCGGCCTCTTTACGCCAGAGAAAGAACCCCCCCCCCATTGGATAGGAGGCTGGGTGGGCCCAGATTCCATTTGGACGAAGTGGAGAAAAGAAAAATTTTGACTGTACCGGGACGCGAACTTCGACCCCTCGGTCGTCCAGTCCAGTAAGTCAGTCTAATTATTTTTTTATCTGTGTTCAAGATGCGACTTTTATGATCAATACTTTCTAAATTAAGAAGAACCATGAACCTACATCGTCATTCATACCGACAGTCAGCAGACTGAAGATTAATTTTCACAGGTCAACATATTTCTTCGTTTGAAGTACGCCCATGCGAATCATTTTTCATTGTCAGTCTTTCACGTTGTAAAAATACAGATTTTGGGATTACTGTAGACTATGATTAAACTTTGAGGCCTAGCGATATCTCGTCGAAGGTTTAAGTCCAATGCTTTGGTGCTGATACGTGTACTTCGCATTCGATTTTCGGTCCAAAGGCTGGCTATTTAAAGATTTTCTATCGTTTTCTCGGACTTCCCAGGAGTATTCTAAGACGTTCCTTTAAATTGGCCACGACAGCTTCCACACCCGTCCCAGTTCATCATTCACAACAATCTCTCTTTTGATATTACATAATCTGCGTAGTTTGGAAGCCGTTGTTCATTCATTCATTCATTCATTCATTATTGGAGGGGGTGGGTTTCCCCATGCACCGCGACCAGTTGTTGATCTATTGTACGTCCCCCTTTGATATTCTACCAGTCGCCATACCCTTCCGGTACTGGTTCTCGCTATCAGCCCCGTTCAGCCAGCGAGTTCGGCCCCTCTACTGGCAGTGGTACCCGATACTTCTCCATCTACCGGAGGCATTGGAAACTACTTGGGCGGGAAACTTTTTTACCTAATTTTGCTCAGAGGTCTCCTAGAGACATGAGGATCTTTTACCTGCCGTAAAGCTACGACACGGGACCCACGGCTTAAACTCTCTCCCGGAGGACTTGTTCCCTGAATTTTTCCGCCCTTAAAAATTCCACGACCTCCGCCGGGTTTGAATCCGCGTACCTTGAGTCATGAGGTGAGAACGTTGCCCCTAGACTACGGAGGCCGCTAAGGCGTTGTTAACAAACAAGGAAAGAAGATATGATATATACGTTTCAACGTTCCAGGCTTATTCCACCGCGCTATATCTGAAAGCGGATCTGCACTGAATCCTTGGGCTTACCAAACACCGGATGCCAGCGTCAAGTTGGCCTTTGAACTGGGAGAAAAATTCGGAGCGAAAACGGTTGACCCTGGCAAGGTGCTAGAAGTTCTGAAGGCAGTGGAGCCAGAGAAGTTGGTGCACTTTCTGTCTACTGGCCTGCTGCAGGTAAGCCCTGCGCGTACAAACGAATCTGTGAACTGAAAATACACGTCAGCATTCTCCTGAAGAGAGAGCTGAACTATGGGAAACTAGATATCGGTAGACGGTGTCAGGTGAGGTAAGTGGCGAGCTTTAGACTTCTACTGTTATTGCTAGTGGAAACGTCTGTTGCGATTCAACGGGGAGTTATTTCTTTCGTCTCTTTGTTCCTCTGCTTCCTCCAGTTCCTGCCTTCCCGGTTAACGCAGTTAATTAAGTTACACTTTTAGCCATCAGATGACAGAGTACCGAATACAGAACTGCCACCTGTGGAAGTATGGGAAAACAAATACTGTGCGTGAAAGACATGACGTATGCAGCACATCCACAAGGCGAACAAAATAATGAAAAAACTTAGTGTTAGGAACAGAATTTGTATTCACTACACTGGAAGAAGGGCAGCTCAATAGCTCAGACGGTTAGTCGCTGGCTTCCCACCGCGGCGATCCGGGATCGAGCCCGGGTCTGCATGTGGGATTTGTGGTGGACAAAGTGGCGCTAAGGCAGGTTTTCTCCGAGTACTTCGGCGCCCCCTGCCAATTTTCATTCCACCAATTGCTCAACAATCACCCTCACCTATCATCTGGGGCTGGTATAATATGGAGAATACGGGAGAATATGGGTTTGATGCCGGTAGGAGTAAGAGCATTTTCTCTTCTCCGTAACGCCCTCCTTCGGCCCTAGGGTCTACCCAGCCTCTGAAGGAATTGGTTTGTGGAGCTGTTTCCCTGGGGATAAGGAGGCAGAGGCATGAAGCTGACCATGACCTCTATCTACTGCCGAGATTAGGAACGGTGAAGCTGTAGCAACGCTCCCACGTGTCTTCACGAGACAGCTTTAGCTTTCTGCCTTATTGCTATCGTGTTGTTGCAGAAACCAGAGCAAATGAGTGGCGAGGGGCGATTTAAAGAGAGATGACGGAGAGCAGAAAGTGCGAACTGAGCCTCTCCGAGGTTTCGGTTCGGGGTTCATGTCTCAAAATTCTCGCACGATAAGTCGCCAACCAAATCCAGCTGCAAATCTGTTGAACTCGCCATGTCCGAAGTGAGAACAGACCTCTAAGTCCTTAATAACACAGTAGTTATTAGGCTGGAATATTTAACATATAATTTCACAAGAAACAGTGGGCACCCGCAACAATCTACTTTCGTACAAATATTACGTTTTCGGACATATCCATCATCCTGTCCTTATCTAAGAACACCGTTTTTTATTTTTCAGAACACAACATTTCGGAGACTGGGTTCTGTCTCCGTCTTCAGGTAGAACCTACTCAGCTGGGCCCAATCGATACAGCTAGTCCCTATCTCCATAGATGGATTGGGCCCAACTGAGTAGGTTCTACCTGAAGACGGAGACAGAATCCAGTCTCCGAAAAGTTGTTTTGAAAAGCAAACTGGGCGGAGTTTCAGATAAAGACAGGACGATGGATACTGTCCAGAAACATAACATTTGTACCGATGTATCATTGTCACAAACTTTTAGACAGACAGATCAGTTTATTAGTATTCACTGAAACGTATAAAATCAACAAATTTATCTGTTCCTCTAGCCGAAAGCTGATGCCTTGATCGGACCAACTTTAGACACAAAGGCTGCCAGTGATGAAGTTTTCCTTCCCGATACACCAATGAATATCATCAACTCGGGAGAGTTCTTGAAAATTCCCTACATAACCGGGATAAACAATGAAGAGGCGATACTGGTAACACGGAGTGAGTACCTTGTACCCTGTCTTAACGAGACATGCGGCGTAAGTTGTCCGAGCACGACTTTGTCGCTATTGAGATGAAGAAGCGTTGGCTCAGTGGATGATTTGCAAGGGATTTGGGAAGGAAGTGGTCGTGGATTATTCTAGATACTATCCCAGCATTTTTCTAGAGGTACTGCTGAATACGACAAAAAGCCTTAGCCAGGATAGCCGACCTCCCAGCCGAGATTCGAATCGAACACCTCCTGAATACAAGTCTAGAGCTTTACTGCTAGACCACCTTGTTCGTTTTGTGGTGGTCAAATTAATTTAAGTTGTAAGACATATTCTCATTGGTGGAGAGTAGCGCTCCAACCTTTATTCTTCTCTCTCTCTCTCTCTCTCTCTCTGTAGAGAGCGTTATTTGCCGCTCTCTCACAAAGTGAAGTTAGCTTTCGTTCAAGCAAGTTCTACATATTTCTGCAACTCTGCAACGCATCGCGCACTTAGAGGCAAATGATTTTGCTGTCTCTTCAGCCGCGCATTCATGTTCTTATGAAATTATGGCGTCAAAAATAACCATACTTGAGCTACTAGAGAGTAATGTCACTTTTTAATTTATGGCTTTGTCCTAATTACAAGTATTATGAATTCATAGTGGTAGGTGATTTCTAGGAAGTATTTCACGCGACGAATATGTTCCGTGGAGCTCACAGTCACTCTGTATTTCAGCATCCTGTTGCAAATCTTTAATTAGTCGTCTATGTATCCACAGTCCGTCAATAATGCAACAAATGTTTATTCACAATTTAACACTTAACACAACATGTTTCGGCCATAGATGGCCATCTTCAGGTGTCTCAATGCATCCAAACTGTTACATTGCTCTGATGTGCTCTAAAACCGCGCGTTGCAGTCTACTTAAAATAACGTAAAAATAATTAATTAAAATCCATTAAAATTTTCTATTAAAGTAAAATCCTATCCCACCCCATAAGAGGCGCCGTCCACTTGTTTAGAGCTATGTGATTATTCCAGAAGGCTTGTTTTTCTGTTTGTTAGTCCATAATATATCCGTAACTAGTGAAGAGAACACCACACGCTGCTAGGGGGAACAACACACAAGCAAGGGGAAAAAATACAGAATAGAAAAAGAAGGTGCTGAAAAAACCTTCTGGAATAATCACATAGCTCTAAACAAGCGGACGACGCCCCTTATGGGGTGGAATGGAACTTTACGTTAACAGAAAATTTTAATGGATTTTAATTAATTACTTTTATGTTATTTTAAGTAGACTGCAACGCGCGGTTTTAGCGCACATCAGAGCTGTGTAACAGTTTGGATGCATTAGACACCTGAAGATGGCCATCTATGGCCGAAACAAGTTGTGTTAAGTGTTAAATGGTGAATAAACATTTGTTGCCTTATTGGCGGGCTGTGGATACATGGACGTTTGCTTATAGCCACGACACACAGCCTACGTACTGAATTCCTCTAAATAATACAACTGAACTTCGAAACGAAAATTTTACTAGCTTAAGTTATTTAATAACTATGCATCAACAACATATATTATTGAACTTTAATGAGGAGTCTATGTGGTATTGTTATAAAGTTATTGCCACTAAATTTTAATCTGGTTCTCAAATTAAACATGACTTTTCTAGACATTACAAACCGAATGACCTCAACAGCGGTCAAACCCTCTGCACTCTTGGACGTAAGACCTGGATTTTTAAATGTTAGACAAATTTCTTGGCAGTCTGGGTCGGAGGATAAGTCACAGCACCTTAAGAGCTCAGTACTTCAACTGTATCATATCGAAACAAATATGTGGTTCCAGCAATGAAACCCTTCTTGTGGCTGCTACGGCCGGTCGTGAATATTTTCGAGCTGGCACTTCCGTTCTACACCGGAGAGAAGATCCCCAAGGCATATGACATGGCTGTTGAAGTGAAGAACGAGTATTTCAATAATTCCAGACCACTTCTTCTTCAGTACATCGACGTAAGTGCAAAGCCCCATACATGAAGTTCTCTTGCAACAGGTTCCCGGATACGGGCAAGTCCACTAATTCTACGATCGCCCAACCTGAGCCCATACATTACCCAGTTTTAAATCCTAAACCTGTGCTTTATAGAGGACTTGGGAGTTTTCAGTAGCTGTATGTCAAACAATGCCCACGAGATAAACACGTGGAAATGACAATGACGCGTGAAAAAGCTGACTCGCTCTCTCTCTCCGGTAGTCATGTAGACCAAATAATCGAACTCATTTGATCCTACCCGTTCCCGTTTTAAAACGCGTACATTCTATACAAAGCTGCCAGTTTTGTCCATACACAAATTCCTTCTCGGGCCGGCCTACCAGTAACCAGATATCCACTGGAAAATGGTGATATGTGGAGGTGTTCCTTAATGAGTCGTGTGTTATGCAGTAGCTACAGCACGTACGTTCTGACATAAGTGACATATGTTAACCCTCTTATACATGCATAAGTCAAGGATATAGTATCCAGTCCATATGGAAGTTGGGTAGAAACCGTCACTGTCACTGTTCTGCTATGTGCTTCATCATGTCGCGAGTAACTTCAATGTTTGGGCCGCGCCACAGCTCAAGCGGTTAGTCGCTGCGGCCCGGGTTCGAGCCCGGGTCTGGTCAAGTGGGATTTGTGGTGGACAAAGTGGCGCTGGGGCAGGTTTTCTCCGAGTACTTCGGTTTCCCCTGCCAATCTTCATTCCACCAATTGCTCCACAATCACCCTCACCTATCACCTGGGGCTGGTACAATTGGGCAGAAGTGGCCGCAGTACAAGGGACTTAGTCCCACCCCACTAGCAATAAAACCACTTCAATGTATTCTTAATAAGGATCGCGTCGCTAGTTCTGCTACGTCTGCACAAAGAACACGCCAAACGTCCAATCTTCAAATTCTCTATTATGAGAATATTACTTTTATGTTCAGATTTCAATAGCATGTTTATTGACAAATCTAGAAATAAATTTACTGTTTTACAGTAAGCAAATTGTTAATTAATTACAACTATTGACTGATCCGATGAATAATTTCAAGTGAAAGCTGTGTCCACAGGTTATCACAGATCTCTTCTTCACTAACGGAGTTTACTGCACCGCACAAAAACATGCAGCCCTTTCCAGCTCTCCAGTGTTCTCTTACGAGTTCGCCTTCGACGGCACTGCAAATGTTTTCAAGACACTGGCAGGCGGTGCAAACCTTCCAGGTCAGTTCCTGCTGAAACACACTGTGATCACAAAATTCTGTATATATTAGTGCATGTATTTTACAAATATGATATTTGACGAGACAACATTTCGAGGGCTGGCTGTACTCATGACCTCTGTTGCCTGGCTGCCGTTAATAATGGCCAAATACTCTTATTTTAATGTTAATGGTGACGATCCGATGAGGCTTATAAAGAGTAATGGCTGAAAAGGTCCTAATACCATTCGCGTATCTATAAGAAAGTTTAGTATTTCAATTTATAGAAAGAGTATCGGTGTTTGCTATTAATTACTAATCGAATCAACGTATGCTTATTAGCAACATACTTTGCAAAACATGTTGGAGAAATTCGCGGGTGCTCTAGTGTCTTCATGCAGGTACACGACACACAGAAGAGTGTACCAGACATGAGCTGCTACCCACCGCTCGAGGTACAGGTAGGTCAAGAGTGCGATATTCTGAGAGCCGTAACCTTATAAACTTGATGAAGGCAAAGGCAGTGGGTGTGGCAGGCTGCACTGATGAGGGTGAAGGTCAGTAATGTGTTTTAAGGGGGAAAGCTATGCAGTGCGTGTACACGGACTGAGAAAGTATCCGCCATTTGAGGTAACTGAGAATATTGTACGGCTGTGTACCAACACAGGGACGAGGACGCGCTATCGCTCAAGCGGTTAGTCGCTGGCTTCTCACCGCGGCGGCTCGGGTTCGATCCCGGGTCTGGTCAAGTGGAATTTGTGGTGGACAAAGTGGCGCTGGGGCAGGTTTTCTCCGAGTACTCCGGTTTCCCCTGCCAATCTTCATTCCACCAAGTGCTCCACAATCACCCTCACCTATCATCTGAGGCTGGTACAATAGGCCAGAAGTGGCCGCAGTACAAGGGACTTAGTCCCACCCCACTAGCAACAATTTCTCAAGCTACTGAGGTTAGGCATATTTCATAAAATGCTTTAAACAATTTTCCATTAAAATTCAGAGGATTCTGTGTTAGTTTTTTATAATAAATCAACCACTACCATAAATTTTGTAACAAAAGAACCAATGATGATTAATCTTCGGAGCACATAACAATATAAAGTAATAAGCCTATAAATTCGGGAAGATTATGTACGAAGGAAAGGGCTGTCAGTTTCAAGCATCACTTTGGATTTGTGTACGTGTCAGAAAATAAATAATTCATGAATAGTCACAAGATTCTTGGTATAACTCATTATATTCGATTTGAGGTTCACTAGAGGTGATTACGAATAGTTTCGGAACTAACGCTGTGTAGTCCAACAGATATTCGAAGACGTTTCGGTGGAACATATTGCCTCCAATTTCAGGGGAGAAAAGTGAGCGATGGAAATCAACCGTCAAGAAGCAGGAGGCATTTTGTTCCTCCGAAACGGCGGTGAACTTCCAGCGGACTGCGAAATATTACGTCCAAGAGATAACTCTCTTTACCTCGTGATGCTAACACTCATGTTGCTCCCAGGTGCATGTCACGCAGATGAAATTCCTTACCTGTTCCGAGTTGAAATGTTAAAGGTTGACCTTGAACCCGGGACTCCTGAATACGTAACATCTGTAAGGATGGCGAAATTGTGGACCAACTTCGCAAAAACTGGGTAAGTAGAAACAGCTCTTTTTATGAATGTTTTAGGCCCATTCCTAATACCAGCCCGTGTCCTTATTTACGCTAGTTTTAACAGAGAAATTAATTTCAGATAACGTAATTGTGCATTTACTGCTTCGAGGGAATTTTTATGAAAGAATTCACGACTCAGAGGATTATATTTATCAATATTTTTCCAGTAACTGTGTACTACATTTACATTATACATTCTNTCTCTCTGAAACACACATTTTTACGCAACCTTAGTTTAGTAGCACATTCTAAGGAAGAGAATTTTGTGATTATGAATAAGGTTCATTTGATGCCAAATTTGTTTGAACAATGGTCCGCACAACAATGAACTGACGAGTAGATCGATGCTTATGACTACGACACGCTTCGATAATATCGATCAGAGTCAAGTGGTGTATAGCTTACAAATAAAAACACTTAATGAATTGTTTCATTATTAAAAGTTTCCTACTAAGAAAAGACCCATTTTCCTCAAAGTGGTTTTCAGATGTACAATACATTGATAATGTACGCGATATAGCCTATACTGCATGTGAGAATAAAATTGCTGTTGGTGTTCCACCTAACCGGTATGTGACAATAATAATAATATTAAAAATGTAGTACATTTTCATAAAATTGTGTCCAATAATAAAGAAATTATAAAGATCTTAAACGTCAGAAGTTAAAAACGATGGGATTCTTGTAGAGTTTCTTGTAGAAACAGTAATAATGGATGGAAACCTTATGAGTGCGTTATTGTATATTTTTCTGTCTAGACATTGCAAGTTGTTCGTTCTGTAACGTGCCATCAGTGTTGTCTTGAGGTAGACATATAGTGTAACGGCCTGGACATTGCATGACTGTTGCCACGTGCCGTGGGCGCAGTGTTGCAATCACTCTCTAACACTGGCCGGAGTGCTATTTAAGATTATTTAATATATATTTTTCGAAGAATTTCACGTTATGTTCAATTAAAATTCTATATATCGTCTAAGATGTGACGTCATGCAGTCTGACGCACTGCAGCTTGTCCTAGGCCAAAGAGTAAGACGAGGAGGCAATATGGACGCAGCTATCAGAGTGAGCTCCTGATTGCTGTATATTATTTTTGAGAAATCATAAATTTACTCCTTCTTCAATTTTGGAATATTTTGCACTTACTTCTTTATGTTGTAGCACCTAAATACTAACTTCATGGACAGGCTCAAGCGGTTATTTGCGGCGGCCTGGGTTCGATCCCAGGTCTGGTTAAGTGGGATTTGTAGTGGACAAAGTGGCGCTGAGGCGGGGTGTTTTCCGAGTACTTCGGTTTCCCCTGCCAATCTTCATTCCGCCAAATTCTCCATCATCATAATCACCCGGGGC